AAATAACAAGAGAAAACATAAAAATTGTAAACGCTTGAACTGAAGTACCCCTCGGACCTGAGCGCCCCCGTCCCGTGCACTGCACAGGCTGCTGCTGATGCTGGAGCGCGGGCTGCGCGCGCGTCAGCGGCGCCAGTGGTCGGCGCGGCGGCCGTCCTGCGAGCGGGAGGCGGGCGCCGTGGCCGCCGTCGGGCTGGACCCCATCTTCCCCGCGCACGCCCTGCTGGTCCTGGGCGCCCTCGCGGCCCTCGCGCTGCTCTACGCGGAGCGCCGCGCCGCCGCCCAGGGCGTAGCCAGGGCGCCGCGGGACGGCCACAAGTGCGGCGCCAAGGCCTGACGGCGGCGGCCTCGCGGAAGAGCACGAGGGGAAAGACGAAAGGCGCGGGGGAAACGAGAGGAATGTCATTCAGTGAAATAATGTCGATTTTAATAAATGTCAATCTTATCACTTCATACAATTGCAAACATAGCGGACGATACAATATCACTTATTTCACACACTTATAATACAAATACTTGTTTTTACTAAACTGGCATTTATATGTGCCATGGACGGCCTACAGCAGACTTTGGAATGTTAATATTCAGTTCATGAATTCCCCCTAAATCCCCCAAAAAATTAATTAACGGGTTTTACTACATTTGAGGAGAATATGACCACACATCGTAATACAGTATGTAAACATCGAACCAATTCAAATAGTCGTATATCAGTAAATCTCATGGACGGATTCCTGGCAGACTTCTTTTAAAAATTCACATCTCAGGTAAATGAGTAAATGACTAGGCTACACATCACATTAAAAATAGAAAATAAACCGTATACTGACTAGCGTATTTTCCCCTGACTCCGTTAAAAAAAAGTATCTACTTTAAAATCGGAAAATAAACAAATTTGTGCGTCATGGTGTTATGTGAAATTCAACAAAAACAGTCAGTGCAGTGCGAAAATAAAAAATTGCGCTACATGAATGAGAAAAAATTAAACCACAAACGATACTGGAATATGTCATGATCAGGTCAAAATTGTATCGAAAAACATGCCTCTGGGGTAGGCCAACCCATGAGGGGCCCTAGTTGTTCTTCCCCGAGGCCAGCGGGCCCGTGCGGTTGGGCCGGTTGCCGGGCTGCCCCACCTGGCGGACCTGCTGCGTGAACCAGGTGACGCCCTCCTCCAGACCCTCGCCCGTGATGGCGTTGGACGCGCAGATGTGCCACGGCTTGTCCAGGATGCGGTCGAGGCCCAGGCCGGACGCGATCTTGACGGAGGACAGCGCGTCGCGCTGGTCCATCTTGTTGGCCAGGAAGAGGATGGGCAGGGCGCGGCTGGACACGTCCGGGTGCTGCAGCAGCAGGTCCAGCTCGTGCCGCACCACCGCCAGCCTCAGGCGGTCGCTCGAGTCCACCACGAAGATGATGCCCTGGCAGTCCTTGTAGTAGAACTCCCAGAGGTCGCGGTACCGCCCCTGCCCCGACATGTCGAGCGCCGTGAAGCCCACGTTCTGGTCTACGCAACAGGGAGAGAACATGCAAAAACCATCAGTGTGTGTGTGTGTGCGCGAGTCGAACCGTGGGGTGGGGCGGCAGTTGACGATATCGATAACGATTCAACATCGTCCTGACTGTCATCTCGCTCTGGAACAGGGTCGCAGCGAAGAGTGGAGAAAAATATGTGAGCAAGATATGGGTGGATTAGAACGATGAGAGGTAATTTTAATACCAAATTCACAATTTATTTATT